GCCGCCCAGCCGCGCACCTGAGCCGGCCCCGGCCAGCGGAGTGGGGTCCCAGGGGCGCGCGCTGTCCTCCTCCGCAGTCCCGCCCTCCCCGCCTGGAGGACCCCGCACTCGCACTCGTGCTCGCGCTCACACTCACACTCACACTCAGTTTCCATACTGGCCTCCCCGTCCGCCTCCTCCCCAGCCCCAGCTCGTACCTGTGCAGGGCCTGAGCTCGCCTGGGCAGGAGGACCCCGGTGCCCGCCACGTCCGGCGGGGCCGCCAGAAGCCGTCGGGAAGGGCGGGCTGGAAGCAAAGGCCGAGGACCGCGTGGGCACCGCTGGACACTCAGCCAAGGTGGCCAGCACCGTCCCAGGGCGGCCCGCCCGCGCCCCACCGCGCCCACATGCCCGGGTGACTGGCTGGGCGCTCGCTCGCGCCCCACCCGGCGCCTGGAGACGCTCCAGGGCCACCGCGCGGCCAGACTGGGCCGCCTGAGCCCTCAGGCCACCGCAGCCGCCAGCCCTGACCCTGGCTCCTGGGAGGTGGGGTCTGCAGTCCCCGCAGCCTATCCCGCCACCTCTCCAGTCTGGGAACCTCTTAATATCAGCAGGCGACCCCTCGCTGCCCCTCCCAGCTCCAGCCCTGGTCCTCCCAGGAGTCTGAGAGCGGCTGGCCGGCTCAGTTACACTGGCTGGTGCCGTGGCCCAGGCGGCTCCTGCTCAGGCGCCTGGAGCGTCCCCTCCCCCTTTTTTTCTTTTGCCTTTTGTTGACATAAGTGAGTTAGCAAACTGGGCATTCGGGACAGGTGTGACATTCGCAGGAGGATCAAGGAGAAAAAAAGCTGGAGAGATGGGAGACAGAAGGCAACAGAGACAGGGAGAGAAAAGGAAGGCAGGCAGAAGAACACTGGGACAGCAACAGGGGCAGGTGGGGTGCTGCAGAGGCCGGGAGGGCGGCGTCGGTGCAAGGAAATCTTGGCAGGAACAGAGCAGAAAGCTGGAGGGCGTGTTCCATCTAAGACACGCTCAGAGTGTGGGGAAGCAGCCTGCCTGGCGGGCCCCAGGTCCCAGGAGTCGGGGAGTTGTACACACTAACTGCGCTCCAAACTCCCCTGTCCTTATTCCCACCCTCTCCAGACAGAAGCTAGGCGATCCTTGGGGCAGAGCCCAGTCCGTGGCATGACCAGGAACTAGCTATTTAGGACCCGTTCTAGGGATGCTAGCAGAGAAGCGACTGGTCTAAGGTCTAGTTCCAGCTGCTATTCCAGAGTGGCCTGTGGGTGCTTTAGGCCAGAGTGTCATTTGCAGCTGGTTAGCTGTGGCAGAATGTCAACCCGAGCCCTGGCCCTCCAGGAATGGACAGCTGACCGGCCAGTGACGATCCCACAGGACAGTGGAGCACAGGTAACCCTTGCACACTCTCGGTCTCTTTCCATGTCCTCATGCGTCCTTCACCACAGCTGCCCCACTGTGCCACTGACCTCTCTGCACCTCAGGTTCCCACTGGGCAGTAGCAGTGCCTCCCTCATTAAGTGGTCATGAGGTTGAGGTGACACATGTGAAGGGCCTAAAGCAGATACCGCCCATGGTACATGTCCTAACACAGCTCTGTGATGTCCCCACATACCATAGTGCCAGGCTTGCGCCACCTCATGCCATGGCTATGGGCTCTGCATTCTACTCCCTGGACTCCAAAGTATGCCCATGACCCCAGCCTCCTGGTATTCACCCCTGCATAGCTGCCTCCCTCCTGCACCAGGTTTGGGCTTATGCAACCAAGGGAACCTGCAGAAGTGACGGAGTGCCACTTCCGAGGTCAGGCGACAGGGCACCTCGCAGCTTCTCTCTTCCTACCCCTCCCTCCTTAGATCATTCACCCTGAGAGAAGCCAGCTGCCATGTCCTAAGCAGCCCTGCAGACAGGTAGGCCTGGAAGCTGCTCACAGCTCAAGAATGAGCTGGAAGGCGGGTCCCCCAGCCCCAGCCAAGCCCTCAGCTGCCCTCCGCATTGGCTCGCAGCTTCACTGCAGAGTCGCAAGAGCACTCGGCGACACCACTCTTGAATTTCTGACCTTCAGACTTCGAGATGGAACATTGGTGTTGTTTAAGCCAGTAAATTGGGGCTATTTGTTACTCGGTGAGCATTAACTGAAACACCTCCTCTTTGGTCTTGTCGCTAAGCCAGCTTTAGGTAGCTTTCATCTGTAGATAAGTTACCTGGATGGTTTAAACGCAGATCCTGGACCTCACCCCAGAGCTAAGAAATACATCAGCAGGTCCCGGACACTGGGGTTTTGAATATGTGTCCCAGGAAATCAGCTTAAGGATGAGGTCACAGGTTGTTTTCAGAAATGTCATTACAGTCTCTTTAGGGCAGACGTTTCTATCTGTCGATACCCTCCCTTGTCCAAAGAATGAAGACTACACCGCTTGCCATCTGTCAAGGATCGGGACAATCTGACACTGCTGTCCTCCTCATCATCCTCCTACTACAAACCCCACATTCAGATAATCTGGCATACTCCGAGTCTTAAACCTACTCAGGCTCTACAGTGTCACACTGTGTCCTTTGTCTAAAATGGCTTGCCCCACCCCCAGCTTGCCTTCAGAAAACCCCACCTCCCCGTCAAACTTGAACCTTTTGGGAACCGTGCCTGCCTGTCCTGTCCACAGCCAGAAACGGCCCCGCTTCCTCTGTGTCTACAGTACCCGTGTCACAGTCTAGCACTCCACATCCAAGAACCACCCCTGCCAGGTGCCGAGCCCTGTGGTGACAGTCTGAACCCTGCCCAGGACACAGGCACACCGTGGGTTCGCGGTGGTCCGTGGTTGAAAGAATGTTACAGCAGACAGGAACGAGGCTGAACAGAGCGCTCGCTCATGCCACTAAAACACGGGTTCTTTCCCCTCTCTTCCTCTTGACCTCTGCATTTTTTTTCTTTTCCTTTCTTTCTTTTCTTTTTTTTTTTTTTTTTTTTTTTTTGTGTCCACACCCCCCCTGAGTGCAGAGAGATAGTGAGAGGGAAGGTGAGAAATCACCCCCCTAGTGGGGATGGCCACGCTGCAATCCCTTCTCCATTCTTCTCTTGAGATTTTGGGCTCACACGTGTGCCTGGGATGATTTTCGAGCCATCGGGTCCAGGACTCAAACCATGGTGGCCATGTAGGGGTCAGTGCCTTAACCACCAGGCCACCTGCTGGCCCCGCTTCTCATCCTTCTTGTCCCAAGCCTCTTCCCTGCGTTTACAACCATATCTGGGTCACCTCCTCTTCTCTGTGCTGTTTTTCCTGCACCTCCGCCCTTTGCCTTCCCTCTCCTTTACCACCTTCCCTTTAGTTCCCTTTTTCCCATCTCCCAATATCTCCTCTTCCACTGGCATGATCCAGAGCAGGAAACAGAACTTCCCTTTAGATTTTTTCTTTGTAAAGGAAAATAGGATAAGTGCCAGTAATAGTTTTGTCTGATTTTATTATCAGCAACCACTTTTTTTAACTCTTAAAGAAGTTATGCGGTTGTTCTGCAGCGAATGAGAGGAAGATACCAAAGAAAAATAGGAAAGCATTTCGACTTTACTAAAACTGATCACATCTCAGTCAGGCCCCACTGACTGCAAGACAGGCCAGGCGCTGCGGAGCAATGCTCGAGGCCACAATGGAGGATTTGGGTTCGTGTCCCCGATGCACCTGAACACGCTGGGCACACCACACAGGTGTTCTGTCATCCTGGCCGGCCGCAGGGTGTGGGTCACAGGGTGAAGACCCTGTCAAAGGTCTCTCTCTCTCTCTTTCTCTAAGGAAATAAACTTTCATTTAAAAATTCACAGTTAATTCATAAATCATAAAAAAGGTCCTGAGAGTCTATTACATTCTGAGTTTCTGCCAGCAGTTACATTGATTTTGAACGAGTTTCATTCCCTGTCTCTCCAGTTTCACAAACACCAAGGTAAATGAGTGGTCTGAGCATTCATTTCCGAGCCATTAACGAACTCCAGATTTCTGTTTTCCTGTGCATCACTGTTCTGGCATCGCTTCTCAAAACCCATACTCTGGGGACCAGCAGTTGGCATAATGGCTATGTCGCTGAACTCCCACGTAGTCGACCGCGGTTCGAGTCCCGGACCTGGTGGCTTAAAACTCACGCCAGGTGTGTGTGCGTGCGTGCCCAAGATCCCGAGAGGAGAATGGAGGAGAAGGGATTGCGGCGTGACCATCCCCCCTGGGGGGTGATTTCTCGCTTTCTCTCTGCCTCTCTGTCTGTCTGGCGAGTGCAGACGCCCTATAGCAAAAACCTCTCCAAAAAAAAAAAAAAAAAAAAAAAAAGCTCTGGGTCGCTGGTGGGACATTCCTCCAGTACGCTGGTGAGCAGCCGATGACCCAGAGGAGCTGCTGACCCAGGACTGTGGGTGAAGTGGGCACCCCCACCGCAAGCGCTATGGGGCATGTGCAAATGGTGCCGGTCACCGCTGCGTTCTCACAGTGCCGAGCCACGGGCAAGGAGCAGAGCGAGCCCTCCCTAGGTCGTGGCAATCCCTGTCTCTTCCAGGTGCCTTTGAGCAGGTCTCCTCGTGCCAATCACATCGAGGCTGGAGAACTGGGCTTCAGTTCCTGAGTTTTCCCTGTGTGCCATCTTTGCAAAGAGCATACAGGTTCAGTTCCCTTTTACAAGAGATTTCCTGCAAGACACTGCGGCCGTCCTTCTCAAGCACACAGCGACATAACTGAGGAGGTTTTTGTTTCGTTTTGATTTTTAAACATTTGCTTCTCAGGCTGCCTCAACCACCACGGGCGTTCTTATTTGACTGGGACAGGATGGAGCACAGACAGTAGCATTTTCTCAAAGCATCCGAAAAGATCCTACTGTGTGGTCAAGGTGAGGAACCATAAAATACACGGAAACGAAGTTCACTGTGAAATCGTGAAGGTAGCCATGGCAACCCTGAACTGTACTAGACCATGCGTGAGCCCAGAGGGTCATCAGGTAGGTCCCACACCTAATCTGGGGTGGCAGTGCCACCAAACCAAGCCTAGACTCTAAACGGTGGGAATGAAATGGGACACAGGAGACGGGGCTCTGCACGAAGGCCCGACAGACCTCTCTGCTCTGCATCTTTCCTTCTCGCTGCTTCTTAGTTCTGAAATCGCCAGATTCCCCTGACCCTTAAGCTGAGAAAAACACTTCCATCTCTTGTGCCAGATACTCACAGGCTGGCTCACACGCACAGGTCTGCACCCTCACCACTGGCTCCAGGTGTCCTTGGTCCCTTACTCATCTCTCCTGGAGAGGGCTCTAGTTTGCTCCCTAGGGCTCTTGCTGTCCCCACCAAACCACGCTCCTCTCTATACTCTGTTTCCCGGAAGACTCTTCTCTAACTGGAAGTTGAAGCTCATCCTGCCCTGGGTAAGGTAAGACAATTGGCCTCTTCCTCCAAGTGTGTGCATAAGAGCCAGCTAATGACCTCAAAGGTGCGTGTCCCTGTTTAAGTCGGAGACAGAGAGTTGTTTTCACTGGGTGTTGATATTTTAAGGACAAAGAAAGGTATAAAACCTCCAGCATAGCTTCCAGTAGAAGGACATGGCCAATACATGACAGATGGCGTTCTACAAATAAAGAAATAGAGCAGACTCCCCAAGCCCATGAGAGAGGAGTCTCCATTCACATAGGATTGGCATAGCACACAC